CCACTGAAGTCGGACGGCAAGACCCCTAGAATATGTGGTGACAATAGATTAACATTGAACTCCTATTTGTTGAAACAAACGTGCATGACGGTAGAGGCTGAAGATATTCTAAATTGACTTCATGGTTCTAAAGTGTTCTCGAAAGCTGATCTAAAAGATGCTTATCTTCAAATCCCTTTAGATCAATCTTCATCCATTTTGACGACAATTAACACTCCTTTTGGTCTGTTCAAATTCAATTTCCTTCCATTTGGTCTAAGTTGTTCTCCAGCCATAATTCAGGAAGTTATGAATAAAGTGGATAGTGACCATGAAGATGTTGAAGTTTTTCAAGATGATCTCATTGTTCATGATTCTGATAAAGTAGTTCATGACCAGAGACTTATTGCTTCATTGCGTCGTTTAATTCAGAAGAATATCACAGTGAATCAGATACGTGTTCATTTTGTGTGTTGTTTCGGGCTGTTAAAAGACTTCATAAATATTTATTCGGCGAGAAATTCACTATTTTTGCTGAACATGAAGCTTCAACGTTTATTTATTCTCCAGGAAAACCTTTATCACGTTCCTCAGTTGCTATGGTTCAACGATGGAGTATTGCCTTGAGTGCCTGTGGCTATACGGTTCAGCACAGGAGTGCCAAACAAATTCAACACGTTGACTACATTTCTCAACAATCATTACAAGATAGACCTGTTAAAGCTTCAGACTGTTTGTTAGTGCAACCTTTACAAGGGGACATCCAGATCTCATTATAGAAACTCGTAGATACCTTGGATGCTAAACGGAAGGGTTGGAATGCTAATCTGAAAAGTAGATTTCCTGTCTATTTCTCGAACCGAGATGAGTTATCCACTACTCCTGATGATATTGTGTGTTTAACTGACCGTGTAGTTATTCCTCTTTCACTGCGTAAGTCTGTCCTTGAAGATCTTTATAGTGGACAATTAGGTGTTGAGAAAATGGAGTCCTTGGCAAGGCTCACATGTTGATGGCTAGAGATAAATGCAAACAATTGTGAGAAGTGTCACAAGTCGAAAAATCAGCATTCGAAGTATACTCCGTGGGCAGTATCGTCTGAGGCCTGGCAGAGAATTCATGCAGACTATTTTGGTCAGTTTCTTGGCAAATACTATGCACTTGTAGTCATTGATTCTTTTTCAAAGTGGCTTGAAGTCTTTTTCACAACTTCACCAAATTCTGACTTCAAAATCCAAGCATTAGAAAAGGTGCTTAGTTGCAAACGGGTTCCCATGGTGTTAGTGTCTGATAATGGTTCTCATTTTGTTGCGGACGCAGTCACTGCCTGTTTGAATGGTATAGGGCGTACACATCTGTTTACCGCTCCCAGGAATCCTTGTTCTAATGGTTAGGAAGAAAATGTTGTCAAGACATTGGAAACTTTTATTGATTCTATTGCCGCCTCAACATTTAATGGGCTGGAGAGGGGAGTAGATACTTTTCTACTGCGATATAAAAATGCTAGATATTCTGTGACGAAAGGGACTCCATCAAAGCTATTAAAAGGAAGAGTTCTTCGGTCGAATATGAGATCTTTGAAGTTTGCTGAAGTTACATATTATCGTAGAAGTGATCTTCAACCATCCATGGGGATTGTGCCGAAGAATGTCTTAAAATATATGGTGCGAATTTTAGATATCAATGACTTAAGTACACAGACACGACATGTTGACCAATTACACCTCCAGGAACCAAGCGAGTCTGTTCCAATTTCGGTTGTTAATTCTAATGCTAATGATTACGTTCTAGATAATACAGAGTCTTTATCCAATACATTGTCGGACAGACACAGGTTGAACTTAAGAAGAAGACGTATAATGATTACGGACACTTAAACTTCAGTTTAAGCTGTGGAGGATGTGGTGTTAGAATGAATTAATGATTCATTTGTACTTATTGAATGCTTGATTTCGAATTCCAAATACGGTGCATTCGTTCGTGATTATGAAGTACTTCTTGATCCAATTGCATTATTTCTGGAATTCTTAGTTCGTACTATAATTCAAATATTTCTGATGTTCATATTACCTTAACGAATTTTACCACCTAGTCACTTACCCATTTATTGTTAAACAGACTCAGAGTAGAATTACACTAAGTAGATACAAGAAACTTACCGACTGCAGGAATCAAATGTTTCTATTAGTGTAGGAGTAGTAACCTGTCATATCAGGACAGACAATATAAAGTTTGTTCACAAAGTAGTATTTAACTATATTAAAAATATCGACCAGAGTAATGAAAACCACAAGCTCAATTACGATGATGAGCGTTTTGAGTTCTAAAATTATGCTTCGATTCACAATAAAAAACCCACGAGTCCAGTCAGTCTAAGGAACATATTGAAAGGGGGTAGGAATGAATAAATACGACAGCTGACGTAAACTTACATTACTACAATTGATGAGCATCATAGAAAATCAGTGTCAAATTGAGAAAATCAAAAATTACGACAAAAGTGTATCGTAACTATATCATCTAGATTCATATGCTCAATAAAATCTGCAGCAAAAGGAGTCACGAAGAATAACTTCACGTTTAACAGGACGACAACGCGTTATGTCGCAAAAGTGTGCACATGGAGAGGTTTACACACACATTCACAAGAAGACGAGTATTCAGAAAGAGATCCTAATAATGTTGACTTTCCTTCGATACACAAGAAAAACGCAAGCCACACGATGGCTCTACTTCACCTGATAATCAACAATCACGGCGAAACGTCGGTGGTATCTAGCAAACGACTTAAAACAACGCGTTTTGGAAGAATGGCAAGACTGTCGAATTATGGTCCACTTCGTTATTAGTACTGCCCTAATAATATACTTAATCCTAAAATTGTAGATTTGTCATGATATAACTGCCTAATCTATAAGATCTTACGTAGAAGTCACATCACTGTCTACACTAACTCATCGCGTCGCAACAATCACAGATATATGGTGGAGAACAAACTTAAGCTAGACGAAACACAATATATTTAATATGAATAAAAGATATAAGAAAACACTCAAGAGCGAGCATTCCCGCAAGGCCGAGTCGTGCCATCCAATTAATTACAGCCAATTCAATTCAATATTTTCGCCTTCTCCATAGTTGAGTTTTCTCGGCGTTAAATGTTGAATGTCTATTTTCCCAGATGTCTCGTGTCCAGCTTTGAGGATTGTGTGATTTGGGCCAAATACCACTTCAAGGCTTTCAGAATGCCTAAAGGATTACTGCACGTAAGACACCACATGACACATTGTTTCGCCTCGATTTTTTGTGTTATTATTTCCAAACGAACAAAAACAAAATATTTTTAATATGCTTATATCTTTTTAATATTTTCATCTGGAAAAAACTAAACTTTTTATTGATATTATGTTTGTTTACATGTGTAAATTTTTATTTTCTCAAAAAAACAAGTCATTTCGAGATCTTTCCCACGCTATTGCATGTAATCAGAACGCATTTATATAAGTTTGTTTTCCTTTCTTCCCCTATTCTGTGTTTTTACGCATGTACGAGTGTATTTCGAAATGTACTCATGTGTCCTTTCTTCCACTCTTACGACGGCTGTAAAAAAGCCGATGAAGCTCAAGATGGATCGAAATTTTCATTGTAACTGTTTTTTAATACCTCATTTTACAACAAGGCCACTTATAATAAATAAGGTCAACCAGGCGCTGCTGAACATATCAAGCTATCAGAAGGTTGTTTACCGACGACAAACCCCTTGAGTTTCGACTTCTGAATGGCCAGGTCCTGGGGTTAGAACTACCCGACAAGCGGGTTGAATGATCTGTAGACGTAAACAAATCTCCTAAACCAATAGCTCTGTAAATCTTCGGCATTTGATGCTGACCGCATTAGTTTCACTGATCTCACCTAAGTGAAGACGCCCGATTACTCACTCGCACCAGATTACGATTGTGTACGCCGTGCTCCACATCCCCTACGACCACTAGCCATCGTAAATTAATCACTTCCTTACATATCGAGAGCATGTCAAATATATCTTTGAATGTCATTGCTTCTGACTTCCGATTTGATTGGGTTGGCATGTTTCGACTATATAAGGTGTTACTGGTTGAGGTGTTGTCAAATTCCGAATACGTGTGGCATCTTCAAACCAATGAGGTCAGCATCAATGTAGAAGGCTAGCAAAGCCATGTATATCGAGGATTTCTTTCCACTGTATGCTTCATTATTGCATACTCGCAGCCAACCCTAGCTCGAAAATCAAGGCTTGCGGTTGACAGAGGTCAGAAGAAACACAACATGGTTAACTCTCGTAATCGTAATGCTTCTATTTGAGGTGGGTTTGTTTAAACTAATCCACGCGTTTTAAAAAAGGATCAGAAAAGACTTTCCTTTTGTCTCCAAATCAATTACGTGGTAAATTTTTGGGATGTAATATTCCATCAATTTTCTTTTCCTCTATGACAGAAGGTTTACATTTCGTAAAAGTTCGCAAGCTCAGAATCAATTGCATGTTAGCTGACCATTGAATTATAAGTACGTGGAGCTCCCTACCTCATCGCATGGTTCAATTTCCATCTATCGATATGCACGAAAGTTGTTAAAACTGAAAGACTTCATCCACCAGGACTAACACAGAGGACCTAGCCTCTCGTCTCACTGAATTTTAATCCACCATTTGAAAAGTCCCATATGGAAAACTGGTCACATTGAAACTCAAATTATTCTAGTAGCATTAAGTGTCAGCGAAAATATACAGGACAAAACACACATCCTATCATGCTTAAAAAGGTGACAGAAGTGATAAATTCTGCTTGACTGTGATTGGTTGATAGGCCAAGTGTTAAGACCATTAAACTAATAGTTGAGAATAATTCATTACATTATTGCAAACTGGAAGCTCAGTAAGATGTTTTTTGCGGTATAAATTTAGCAATACTGTGAACGTTGAAAGTTGATTTTAGAGCTAGGAAATTATTTTCTAGTTTTCTTTGCAATGTCTTCGCCATAAGAACAGTTTACTGAGCGGGCCAATCGAGTACACGAATCAGGCTGCTGAGTTTCATCTGATGTTTGCTTTAAGTGGCTATGCCCACTCGTCGTAAAAATGTTGACTTAAACAGACTGAAACGTTCCTGTAAACGAAGCAAGGTATTCGAGTTACTATCTTTGTCGTAAGTACTCAAAATATTTCCAACTATCCTCAGTTACGTCCAATACCTCCTGATATCCATAATATGGGGAGTACTGTTTGTAGTAAATCAATCAACGGACATGAGGTTTGAGTACTTTTGGCCTGTTTGGCTATCTGTTTGCTCAATACATGACTCACTGAAGTTCCAAGGACTGGTAAATATTATGTCTGTTCATATTTCACATGCAGCAATACACAATTGTCTTTATCATTATTTTGATTACAATTGATCTAATGTGTTTCTTCTTGATCCCTGTGTCATGGATTTACACATTCGGTAGTGCGTATGTGTGGCTATACCTTTTTCGGCACACTGGTTAGTGTGATGACTAACTGAATAATAAAAATTTCAGATCAAGGGTTGTGTTTCCTCACTTTGTCGCTGTGTTTTGTTTTCATATATTTTGAATTTAGTCTCTACTCAAAAGTGACAAAATCCACTCACAGCATTTATGTTTTCCGTCCATTTGCAGCACACAGGTATGATGAAATTAGTGTGATTAAACGCCCTTAGTATTGGCTACTCGGTAGTATGTGTGGGATTTTCTCTAAAACGGTACCTGGATATCAGCTATCGAGATGTAGGTACTTTTCAAGCTTTATATAGGATGTTTAGTTTAAAAGAATGAATGTTAGAAGGCAAAATTACCTGCATTTTCGAATTCTTTATGAAGCTCTCCCACCGTCGTCGGTAAACGACAATGTTTGTAAGTTTCTGTTACATTCAAACATACTTGAATCAGACGTTCAACATAGTCTTGATTATTTTCAAAAGGATTCCCTAGAAGTTCATGAAGTTGCAATGTCTGATGATGTGAGTTCTTATCTCATTTTTTAAACCTCATTACTCCTCTACCTTTAATATCGTAGTACATTTTTGAATACATAGATTATATACAGCTATATATTTCAATGGTTTGTCAACCTCTAACTGATCATGATGCTCTACGAGCAAGCAAGACTTACATCATTTAAATATTTACGTGAATAAGGATTCTGCTTATGACAAGATAAAACGACTAGAGGTCTGAAGTGATCAGCTCCACCTACCAACAAAATTTAAAACCTATAGCCAACTTTATGCAGTGAGGATTATTTGTTCCTGATAAGTCAATGTTAACTGTCTTAAAGAGTGGGTCCCTAACCATAATAACTCATTATTAGTTGACGTTTGGTAGGTAAACAAAATTCTATCACTTTTCAATCTTATAAAAAGGGGAGTAAACTCCCTCATGATAACAATACAGAGTCAGCTTAGTTTATTTGTTGTCTAACATATTAGCATTGATAACCATTCGATGCCTAAATGGAGATCTGCGGCAGCAAACCCGAGAAAACAAATCAAGTTCAAATTCGGTCTTAACTATGTAGTTTCAGTCACTTGCTAAAGTGTGACGCTTTAGCCAATACGTCAACTACCGTGTTACAGTGACAAAATTCTGATTTACGCCTTATGGAGGATTCATTTTAGGAGGTTTAAACCTTCCGGTATTGTTTGGATCTACAGTCACTGACTTCTCGAAGAAGTGCTATTTTCTGGTTTGTTCATTGTTTACCTTTTTTCAACATGATCTAATTCTCTTTGAGCGTATAATTTATAGTTTGCCTAGACATTTGCTGTGTATACCAACGGTCTTCTCTTCAAAATCGTCTGTTTGTTACCAATCAGAACACTAAAAGGTCATCCAAGTACCTGATGTTTTTTCTTTTACTTTTATTTTAGACTGATAACTCGTGATTAAAGACGTAGAATTTAAGCCCACAACACTAACTAACGAATCTCAATAGGTATACAATACGGATAGTTGGGACAAAAGTTGAGTCATGGGTACATAGTCCACTAACTGTTATTTCCGAACTGTTGAAGGCAACTCAACAGCTTATCGTTAAGATCATAGCTATCAATCGGGAAAATATTCAAATACTACGAACTCTTTCCTTAGTTAAGAAACAGGATATACACAAACTGATCCCTCCAAAAACAGTTTCCATAGTTTCACATTTTTGCTCCTTCTCCCGTCACTAACATCTTTTCGAAAAATTGATATTGTTTACACTATGATCTTTGTGTGGGTGTTTAACTTCTGTTCTTTCTCCGTGTGACTACAAGTCACTTAATTCAAAAGAATGGTAAAATATCGCCTAAGCCATTGTAGCTTACTACCAAACTATTCCTTGAACAGGCTGTAGATTCTTTTCATAATGATGCAAATAACATCCTTGCATGACTCGAACAATAGTCTCCCCTTATTACCCCAGTCTGAAGTTTGTCGACATGCTAATGGGCATTGTTGCCAGGTCCTGCATTGCTCACAAACGAATGACAATGCTTCTACCACTCATTATGTGAAAACTCCCATTGTTACGTTGACCCCCAAAGACATCTTGGTCATTAGACATGAGACCACAATATTAGCACCAACTACCTTCAAAATCTGGAAAGATGCGCACCTTGATTGTCTTACTTTGTTCTCTCTCCCTTAGCCTAATAAGATCGACTAGTAACCACTTGATGGTATCCGCAAATTTTTATTGTCAGTTCTTGCGACTAATTTCATCGCAGACTAAGTTTGGAGCTAGGCTATATCAGTTTGAGTCTCACTGTCACATTCTCGTAATTGTTGAGTTTATTTTCCGCACACTTTGCAACTTGAGTGAGTCTTTTATCAACAGGTATTGTTCTCATTCATCCTTAGAGTTTCATACGATCACAGTTCAAGGTCTCATTCTAAGAACAGATGCTCAAACGTTCTTCCATTTTACCCATAGTTATATAATTTGAGTTTCAAAATTATTTCATACTTTTGATTACACAAACTAACCGTCTCTTTTTGAAAAATGATTCCCTATGTCTAGTATATTTTCACTTCAACTGATATTACTACTACTACTACTACTACTGCTACTACTACTACTACTACTACCATTACTGCCGCAACTACTTCAACCACTTTTATATTCATCCTGGTAAGTTCCCCCGACTATGCTGACGGGGTACGGGAAAGTGGGCCGACGCAAATGCATACCAGGTTCTACGTTGCTGATGACTAGCTGAATGATAACCTACGTGACAATTGTAATAAAGTCAGTGCCTGGTAGGAGAAGTGTTCTGACTTTTGTCTAAACCTAATACCAGCCGCGGGATGTTCGTTTTTGGGAGAATTTCAAGAAAGCATCACCATTGAGATAATGAATAAAATTTGTAGCTCAGACGGACTCTATTAGTGACTGAGTTTTCCGACCCAAATGGCTTAGTTGCAGAGCATCCATTGTCATTCTAAACAATGTCTTCAGCACCTACATGAAGTATACTTGATTGACATTGTCAAAATGTCACTCGCATTTTAATACAAACCTTAGCATTTTTGTTTGAATACTGAAGTATTCTGTTACATAACTACACATTGAAGCTTCAATATTTGAAGTAGCTTCGAAGATCTTTGGTAGGATTTCTCCACTATGTCGTTGGCGCGGCAGTTATTAAGTGCGTATACAAGTCGCTAAACTCGATAGTCAAGGCTTAAATTCACTAGATGATTTGAGAAACTGCAGTGATCACGTTCGCATGACATAATTTGTAGTCATTTTTTATTTCGTGTTAGATATTTTTGTATTCATCTATCAGTAGAAGGATGAGCTTTGCTGGACACTCGTGTAGCATTTTAGCATCCAACGAATTTCGTTGTGAGCTGTCGTCTCTCAACCACTTCTCATTGATATATTCGATTGATTAGATTGCCAATTATCAGACTTCATTTTTAATGCTAATCGTCGTGTTTTTCATTTTCCGGAATGTCTTGTTTTTTGTTTACTAGTTCTCATCAGATTTTTCTAGTCGATCGGTATTCATACCTTTTCGCTTTGGTCAATTATGTTTTGGTCGTTTAGTTCGTTGGACTTTCGGCTATCTCAGATCTGTTGATAAACAATACTTGGATTTTGATAGGTATGCTTTACCTGTTTTATCACATTGGTATTTTAAAATCCCATATTATAAGCTATATGCTCTGCTTGAATTAAGGAATGTATTTCAACTGGTGTATCTTAAATTGTTTATAAAATATTCGTGGAACAATAACGCATATTATTCTTTGGACCTAACATTTTGAAATCCCATCAGACAAATTGAGTCGTTCATTTTTCTGTCGAGCACGTATAACAACTGTTGAGAATGAATGGATTTCGGCCCAGTGGTCTAGAAGTTAAGTGTTCGCGCGTGAGACCGAAGGCCCTGGGTTCGAATCTCGTGAGCGGGACCGTGGATGCGCACTGCTGGGGAGTCCCACAATATGAAGATGCAGCCGTTTAGTGCTTCCACGTTTTCAATGGTGGTCTAACATCGACCGGTTCATGATCTCAGTGGTTTCCGTAAAGTTTGGCCCATACACCCCCAATGTCTCTTCTTAATTTCTTCTTCAACTGGTTGCTGATGGGTTCTGTAATAGAGTAGGTTATTACTGATGGTGTTTGATCAACGCATCTAGAGTATCTTGCGTTTATATATATGTACTTTTTTATGATGGTTATAGTAGTTCTCAAAATTTCAGCTCCGTACAATAGTACTGTCTTGATTTTCTTATTGAAAATTCTGACAGTTTTTTGAGTTCCAGATGTCCTTCAATCTTATGAATGTTGGTCTTGCTTTGTCAATCCGTGCCTCAACGCCTGCATCACATCCCGCTTGCTTATCAGTGATACTGCTAAGGTTCGTAAACGTTTCCACCTCCAGAGCTTCCCCATGGAGTTTAACTTGGTTGGTCTTCGCTTTGTATTTTAGGATATCACTTTTTCTCATGTGAATGTTGAGGCCTGCTGCTGTGGAGACTGACACTACTTTGACTGTCTTCACCTGTATTTGTTGCTGTGAATGGGATAGAGAAGCTAGGTCATCTGTGAAGTTCAAATAGTCTATCTGCATCCAAGCTATCCACTGTATTCTGTGCTTCCCCTCAGATATGAAGGTCTTCATGATCAACTTAACCACCAGAAGAAAGAGAAAGGGGGAGAGTGAGCAGCTTTGTCTGTCATTGGTCTTCACTTGGAATACATTTTTGAACAGCACTCAATGCATAAAGTTGCAGTGCAGTCTGTTGTAAGAATTCCGTACGATTGTGGCAATCTTCTCAGATAGATCATAGTGTCGAGGAACGTCCCATGAGGTCATCCTATCCACTCTGTCGAATGCTTTTCCATATTTAAGTAAGTTGGTGCGCAGTGATGAGTTTCATTCGATTGATTGTGTCGCCATTTGGTCGGTGCATAGTCGATCCTTACAAAATCCAGCATGTTTGTCTAGAAGTTGAACATGTACTGAATCCTTCATTCGGTTTAACAACACCGTTGAAAACTCCCTGGTACTGATATTATTATGGTGCCTCTTGCCCTCACACGTGCTAAGATCTCGTTTCTCCAGTAGCTTGATGAGATATCTATCTTTCAAGTCTGTCGTAACTTGTTCTCCCTCCCAAATCTGTCTGAAGAAACCTCGGGGCATCTTCCATGTCAGAATTCAATGCACCAACTGGTCTGGTGTCCAGTTTTGCTGCTTTACCATTCTTGACTCTTTTTGGCCATGTTGGTTTCTTCCACTGTTAGCGCAATAACATCTGTAGGGAAGTTTTCGTGTGTTGCTTCGATTCCTAGCGGATTTTGTTGGGCTGGTCTGTTTTAGAGCTTTTGATAGTGTTGTGCTCTCCTATTCCGTTGCTCTTGAATTTCACCGTTTATTTTTAACTTTGTTATTGGTTGGTTGCTCTCGTTCACTATATTTTCCATCTGACTTCATCGTATCGTATGGTTGTCTCATGTTTCCACTTCTCTTGCAGCTTATATATATATATATATATATATATATATATATATATATATATATATATATATATATATATATATATATATATATATATATATATATATATATATATATATTGGTAGACAAGTATCCTTGCATTGCATTTAAACTTTACGACTATGTCTAGTTCATGTGATAAATGTTTTCTGTTAAGTATTTTCGATCATTCCACATGCTATACTTACAGTCGAACTGCACGTTTTAACCATTCCTCGACTACAATAGTAAATGGAGTAATATCAAATACTTGTGTTGTTGATGCTGGTCTACGTCGAGCTGTTCAGTGCCTTGAGTCAAGTCCGTCTGGATCGCAAATTAGTCGTCGATATACCACAGAGAATTCAGTGAACCTTTACTCTAATTCTAAACCTTCAGTTAATGGTTGTGTTTCTAAGCAATCTAGTAGTGGGAAACCAGTACGTGAACGAGGTGCTAAGGAAGATCCAGTAACAAGGTATGCGAATTCGTGTTAATTTAACAGTCTTTAGTCTTTTTGTATTTTTAAACTGAATCACTACAACATTTACAACGTGTTTGACAGTCATTCTGTCAAATTCTGTAGGCTATAATTCCGTATATAACTAGTTATTGAACGTTGTAGTTTTTATTTATCTACTCTGTTTATAGAATTAACTTAATCAAGTTAGTTAAAAAATTTATTTATGGTATTAATTCCTATTCACTGCGTGTCTTTACCAACTTATTATTTATCTATTTAATTATTTGAACTCCTAAATATTGGTACAAAGGGGCGCCGAATATATGTGAGTCACACAAGTCACTTGATTTGTGTGTGGGCTATGATACTGTCCGGGTGTCCAAACGGAAGCAGCTGGTTTATTAGGGGGCCACATCCGGAGCCTTCGACCTAAAGATACAACCCACAAGACAGCGGAGAAACGTAAGGAGATGCGGTCCTATGGTAGCCGGTGACCAACGATTCAGTCAGTCAGTCAGTAACAACGTAGAACTTCGTATGTACGTACATCAGTTCGAGTTGCCACACCACATTAGCACAGAAATGCAGTGGTCGACGCAAATCCCGTAGTGCTAGATGTAGTAAAATTATAAGCTGTAATTAGAAAAATTAGGGTTTGAAGATGTTATTCAATGAGTATAATCCAGTGAAATAAATTTGGAAAGAGAAAAAAGAAAGGGACATGAAGAATTCAGAAGATTAGAATTTGAGAGAACACAAAGAGTAGATGCACCTGCGCCATTGCAAACGATTTTGAGCCATATCATTCAGGGTCTTCAACCATCGGTTACTATCATCTCGCGGTCCCCAACCAGGTAGTCTACACCTACCAATATGACTCAGTCTACTTGTCAGTGACTTCATAGATTTGTGCCATGTTTTGGTCTGGCCGCCCCTAGCTTTCTTCCAATCTACTCCTATACAACAAAACATCGCACATCGAGGCAGTCGATGGTTGGGCATACGTAACACGTGTCCCAGCCATCTCAACTGATGAAGTTTCACTACGTCATCAATTGATTTACTATCCTTACCTAGTACCCGTTTCCTAACAACTGCATTACTTACTCGATGGTCCCACGATATACGAGCAATATTTCGAAGACACCTATGATCAAATACTAGTAACCTACGGATATCCTATACCCTTACCGGCAATGTTTCACTGCCATAAAGTAGGACGGAACGAACTGCTGCACAGTAAATACGTCCTTTGGTTGGTAGACGGATATCTCACCTACGCCATAAATGACGCAAGTTGGTAAAAGCTAGTCGAGCCTTCTGTATACGTGCTGAGATTTCGTCACACACCAGACCACAAGGGCTGATGAGACTTCCAAGATAAGTGAAGCAGTCGATACGCTCAACTACTCCACTCCCTATCATTAGTTCGGGTTTCGATGCAACCCAATCATGAAGCAACATTTTGCATTTCGAGGGGGAGAATCGCATCCCGAACATGCTTGCATTGTTGCTTAGAGTGGTCAGAAGACTGCATTTTGTCAGCGTCTTCGCCAAATAAATCTATGTCATCGGCATATTCTAAGTCAACAAGTGAACCTCCCGGTACAAGTTCAACCACTGGAAATTTAGATGAGGAGTGTTATCTCTAAAAGTACGTCGACCACAATGTTGAACAAGAATGGGGAGAGTGGACAGCCCTGACGAACACCACTTGAGGTAATCAATTCTGATGACAGTTCGCCATAAGCTCTCACTCGAGTAGAGAGCCTTTACAAGGTTAATGTACTTCTTTGGTACTCCTTTCAGTGACAAACACTGCCACAGAACCTTACGATCAACAAAGTCGAATGCTGCCTAAAGGTCGAGAAATACTACGATTGTGGGGCGTCTGAACGTGTGTCTGTGTTCTAGAACCTGACGTATTGTGAATATCTGGTCTATACAACCATGTCCAGGTCGAAAACCAGCCTGATTTTCTCTAGTCTGTTCTTCACGAGCTTTAGTTAGGCGCCGAAGTATTATTGAAACTAATAGTTTAGACACTATATTAGTCAAACTGATTCCTCTGTGATTGTCATAAGAGGACTGTTGTCCTTTCTTATAGACTGGCACAATCAGTGATTGAGACCAGTCAGATGGGATTACGTCCAGTTCCCAAATTCTACCTAAGACCTCAGTCAATCTCGCTGCTAATACTGGACCACCATCCTTAAAAATCTCAGGAGTAAACCTGTCAGGGCCTGCTGCTCTCCCTCGCTTCAGATTTCCTATAGCTTTTTCAACTTCATAAATAGTTGGAGGACTTATATTAACTTGCCATCCAGGTTGACTGGAGATCGTGGGAAACCGAAGTGTGGCTGAAGGCCAGTTGAACTGATCCCTGAAGTGTTCTGCCCATCGATCCAATCTCCTGGATTGAGGATGTATAATATGTCCATCTTTTTCTGAGTGTTTCGATAACAGTCGGTTTCCTTAACGAGTCTGAACAATTGTCTGCTATTACCTATTGCCGCTGCCTTTTCCATCTCTCTTGCTTTCGCTACCCACCAGTGTTCACGACCATTGCGTAGGCTTCTTGTCAGCTTGCGCTTAAGCTGACTCCACTCTTCATTATGTTCAGAGCCAGGTGGAATGAGTTTTCGAGCATCTATCAGTGCGATAGACTTTACGGGTTCCTTAGCTAAACTTTACGGGTTACCGTACTAGCAGATATCATTGCTGTTTCCACAGCTTTTCGGATATCATTCCATGCTGCCTCGGGGTGGGCATCACATACATGGCTGCCTAACTGTTTTCCTAGTTGTTCCTGAAATATACTCTCAGCTTGACTATGATTAAGTAGGCCCCTAAGAGGTTTCCTTGCAGCGTCTTTCCTACGTCCAGTAAGACGCAGACAGATACACGCTCGTACTAGAGCATGATCTGAATCTAAGCATGTGCTCCAGAATGAGCGACAGTCTTTTATCAAGTCCCTCCATCGGTGGCTGATAGCGATGTGATCTATTTGGGTCCAACGTTGGGATGAATTAGGGGGTCTCCATGTTAAAAGATGTTGTTCCTTATGCTTGTTATTATTTATTTGAACACATGAATATTGGTATAAGAGAGCGCCAATATATATGCGCCACACAAAACAATGAGAATGCGAAGAGAAATAGAAAAAGAAAACTAAGGAGCGCGAAAAGAAAAAGAGAACAATAACGAAGAGATTGGTGTAAGGTAGTGTAGTAATAATGAGGTTACGGAAAGGTACAATCAGAAGAAATCTTTCAGGTAAATGAGACACAACCACTTTTTATGAAGAAAGTAAAAGAAGGTTACAGCAGGATCGCCACTGGCTTCTATTCTGAGCCATATCTGATAACGTCTCTAGCCACTGTGTAGCACCATCTCTCGGACCCCAAACAGGGAGCCGTGAAGGACCGACAGAAGCCAGTCCTTTGCAGCTTTCTTTCATGCCACGACACCATGTCATGCACTGACCACCTCTCCGCTTCTTCCAACCAGTCCCAGAGTCGGCAAATAATGCACGACGTGGAATTCTCTGGGACGACATTCGTAGAACATGTCCAAGCCACCGAAGTCGGTGTTTCAAGATGGTGACACCAATTGAATTGTCATCTCTGTGCCCGAACACGCGATGCCGAACCTCTGCATTACTGACGTGGTGTTGCCACTGGATGTCAGCAATCCTTCGGAGACAGCGATGATCGAACACGGAGAGTCGTCTAATGTCCTCAACTCGGAGAGGCCAGGTTTCACAAGCATAGAGCAAAACTGCTCTCACCGACGCGTTGTAGATCCGACCTTTTACAGCCAGACTAACATCACGAAGGCGCCAAAGGTGGCCCAGATTGGCATAAGCCGCTCTGGTTTTCACTATTCGTGCATTGATCTCATCACTCACACCCCCACCAGCACTTATGCAGCTACCCAGATACACGAACTTCTCGACTACTTCTATCTGCTCACCATCCAGGGTGAGTACAGGATTGGAATCCTGCCAGTCTTGTAGAAGTACTTTGCACTTCGAAGGTGCAAAGCACATACCATACCTACGGACACTGATTGCCAACTGATTAAGTGCGGATTGCATGGCTTGGGCATTGTCGCACAGTAAGACAATATCGTCCGCATACTTAAGGTCGAGAAGTCTTTCTCCAGGCAACAGATCCACACCACCATTACTTACATTCATCAGAGCTGTTTCCAGAATGTCATTGATGGAAAAGTTGAAGAGGAATGGTGAGATTGGGCAACCCTGCCTAACCCGACTGCTCGAATGGAACAATGGAGAGAGGTGGTTGTATGCCCTCACTCTGCCTGAGGTGTTTGTTTATATAGCTTTTAGGATGTTAATAAACTTCTCAGGTACACCCTTCTTCAATAGACAATCCCAGAGAGCAGTCCTGTCCAACGAATCGAAGGCAGCCCTGATGTCAAGAAACACTACGATTGTTGGCCTTTGATAAGTATGGCGGTGTTCTAACATTTGGCGGAGGGTGAAGATATGATCAATACATCCTCGACCAGAACGAAACCCAGCCTGCTCCTCGCGAGTCAATCTTTCTCGAGTTTTGAAAAACCTACGAAGTATGACGGAAGCCAATAGCTTGGACGCAATCGGAAGTAGACTTATCCCCCGATAGTTGTTACAGGAACGACGTGAACCCTTTTTAAAGATAGGGACAACTATCGACTCATTCCATGACGTTGGCACACTCTCTGGTTCCCAAACCTTTGTAAACAACGTCGTCAATTCCTTAGTCGGGAAGTCACCACCATCTTTAAAAAGAGCCGGAGGTAAGTCATCTGTGTCAGGTGATTTGTAACGCTTCAAGAGTTGGAGTTCCTTGCGGACTTCCTCCTCATTTGGTGGATCAGTCGTCACCGGCCATGGAGGGCAGGACAGTCTGACCGATGTTGCCGGAGCAGCAGGCCAGTTGAACTGCCCTTCGAAAAATTCTGCCCATCGTCCAAGACGTCGATGGATGTTGGTGATTGGCATCCCATCATCCTCGCAGATTGTTTCACTCACACCAGACTTCTTGCTGCCAGTGGCTCGGATGAGTTGGAAGAGCTTCCGGTAGTTACGAGATGCAGCTGCTGCTTCCAACTCATTAACACGCTTCGACCACCAGGCCTCTCGGTCCTTACGCAAGCTTTGTCCAATTTCCTTACGTAACATCCTTCTTTTGTGGTCAAACTCACGGTCACCCGGAGTAGACCGACGGGCTTCGATGAGTTGTAAGGAACCTGCAGAAACCCAGTGCTTAAAAGCGGGACGTTTCGCGAACCCACAACTGACTGTACCCACCACTTTCATGGGGTCAGATGGAGATCGAATTTGTAGTACTTCACCGGAGTCTTGAATACGGGTCTCAGATAGACAGCAAACATCGATATTAAGACTTTCTAAAGACATAGCCAGCCCTATCTGTTGTCCAACCTGCATAAGTGTGTGAACGTTGAAGGCAGCCAGTTTGAATGGTGCACGTGGTTTCAGAAAAACTGCTTCAGTTCTCGTATTCGGTGGTAACATACAATTTTCAACCGGACAGTGACTCGAGAACGTTTAGATGCAGTCGAATTTCCACCAAAGACGAGTCGCTGTATAAGTATAAAGGAGGGTGAATAATGTGGAAAATAATAATAATAATAATAATAATAATAATAATAATAATAATAATAATAATAATAATAATAATAATAATAATAATAAATAATAATAATAACAATAATAGTAGTAATAATAATAATAGTATTAATAATGACAATAATTGTAATGATAATAATTTGAATCAATTGATTGTTTTTCGAAGCGAGAAAAGTAATTTCCATAGACATAAAGAGTTCATCATTTGTGTGTGGGCTGTGATACTGCCCGGGTGCCCAAACCGAAGCAGATGGTTTTCTTAGGGGGCCACAACCCGATCTTTTGACCTAAAGGTCTAACCCACAAGGCAGTGGAGTATCTTGAGGAGATGCAGTCCCATGGTAGCCGGTGACCAACGATTGGTTCATACGCCATTTGTTCCCTCAGGATACTGGAGCCCATGTGCACCATTGGTTTGTGATCCGGTTAAAGCGCTGGACACTCGGTTTTCGTCCTCTCATTTTCGTAAACAACACCCCCGCCACGAGAAGGCAATGAGTAGGACTTCCCTGGCAGAGGCTGTATACGCGTGGCCGTGTGAGAGTATTTCGAGAAGGAGAGCGGACTCTCCCCACTCTCGGCCGTACCAGGGCGTTCGGAGGCCCTTATGCTTAAAGTTAGTATTTGCAAGAAAGAGGCGGTTGTCTGAGCATAGCTGCAACAGACGGTTGCCATTATCTGTTCTTTGAGCCACGACACTATAAGATCCACCCAGGTGTCCTTCCCTTTCGCTTAGTTTACCTACTTGAGGATTAAAGTCACCGGCCACTATTACTACATCCGAGCGCCTAGCTTTTAGGAGGAGGTCGTAAAGCTTTCTGTAAAACTCATCTTTTACATCATCTGCGCTGCAGTCAGTGGGAGAATAGGCAGAGACGACGAAGAGGCAACGACGATTGTCCCTATCTTTTCGGATCCTTACTGTTCCGTTCAGTCGGACAGCGCACAAACGGCTGTCTACTGGAATCCACTCTAAGAGAGCTAGTTCTGCCCTAGGACTCAATACTATACGTACGCCGGCGGGGCCACGGGAAGCAGAACCACGGCTTCCAGATACAGGAAGCGTAAATCGAGTCGGTTCTTTGTTTTGGCATGGTGAGGTCAAGTGAATGACGCTACTCGGATCCCGTATGCGCGTTTCGGAGACGCAGCACACATCGATGGCGCGGGATTCTAAAGTCTTAGCTAAGGAAGCCTGCTGTCCTATTTGGCACAGTGTTTGGACGTTAAAAGCTCCTACGTGTAGTTTAGAGCGTGGTTTCAGGAGACCAGGAATAGCGTTCCACGTACTCGAATCGTCTGCCCTAGCGGTGCGAGATGATAAAGAGACGTGAGGAGGGTTAGTCATGGAGATAAGAGAGGTATTAGGAGGTGTAGGAAGGATTTGAATGTGACCGACTTGGTCTCGTGTGCTGTTACGGGTATGAGGGCTGATATCACTTCCCGGCTGCCCACACCGTGGAAGGGTATTTCTTGAGGAACCTGAAAAGGAAATTGGATTAGTGTTGGTCTTAACGACCTAGGAGCGTGACCGCAGAGCCCAAGGGACAACTGCTTGAGGCCGGTCGCGCACGGCCTTTCCGTGGAAGGTTTTTAATGTGTTAGCTCCGTTCTTCAAAGAGCCTTACCGCCGGAGACGGAAATCCGTGAGGTAAGGTGAGGTGTGACATTTTTAGGGTCAACCTTTTCTAACCCCACCCCTCCTTGTGGGAAGGCAGCATCGCTGCAGATGCTGGTTGTCTGAGGGAAACACCTTACTGCTGTCACACCCCTCTACAGTCAGCAGTACGACATCGCCCTCAGACCTTGAGTTGCTGCTTTTAGTTTTACCGTTCTCCAATCGACCTGCCTGGCATGGTAGAACCTACAGGAACCTATGTTCCAGTCGGTCGGGTGACCGACGACTGGTTCATACGTCATTTGTTCCCTCGGGATCCTGGAGCCCATTGGTTTGGAATCAGGGTTTTTTATCTCACCTAGTTGAACCTTTCTTGTCCACCACCCCTGTTAAGATGCCGGACATTTGCTTCTCGTCCTCTGAATTTCGTAAACAACACCGCTAGGTAGTGGGTAGGACTTCCCTTGCAGTAGCTATATACGTGTGGCCATGTGAGAACATTTCGAGAGTGAGAGTGGACTCTCCCCACCCTCGGCCGTACCAGGGCACCAGCTAAAGAACTTTCGAAGCTACTTGTATGTGTTTTATCATATACTACTCTTTAATTTGCTCTAGAATAGTTTAACTTAGTTCGTTGGATCAATTCTGTTCTTATTAGTGATAAATTTTATTCAGGGTAACATTTACCATGTAACTTTATCTTGAGGCTATTATATCTAATAGTTTGATGGTTCGGCACGGCCTTACGGTAATCGTTAATTACTGGACGATTGGAATTCTCCTTATACAAACGCAAACGAGTAGGAACTCGAACAAACCGAACTTATATCACTTCAACATTGATAATGCATAAGATAGAGATGACAAGATTTTTAGTATAGCTTTATACCCCTAATAGAAGTAAAAGAATGAAGTACAACAGCTCTTTCTATAATAAAGTGCAATAATCTTGAACATGTAATAAAGCAAACTAAAAAGAGTAACAACCGATAAGGTAACAGCTAGGGTTATCGCGGAAATATGAACTAGAAAGTTGTCATCGTGTTTATCGTTTGAAGAAAGAACTGACATGTAATAACAAATACCTATACAACCTAATTTCTCCCTAGCAGAAAAAATGACCTTGATTGTTCAAAATAATTCGTTGTATTGATTATTTGCATACTTTTGTGTAGTGTACTTTATCTAACAACTAACGTACACTTTGCTGATATTTTTACAATAGATTAGAGAGTAACGTTAGACGTCTCCGTTCCGAATTACAGTCCATGCGTGGACTGGAAACACAATTGCGTAACCAATTAAACAGTCTTCAACATGACGATCACCTCAATCGACTAAGTCTGTCCAACCAACGTCAAGAGAACGAGGGTATTTCATCACGTATTTCAAAGCTAACTAATAAATGCCGTACTGAAAGGGTTAATTTAAACACAATTGAGCAAAATTTAGGTGAAGAAGTTCGTTTGCGTCAGTTGTTCGAAGCTCAACTCACTGAAATTGGTGTAATTCCTGTGCGTAGTTTTGTGGGATCAAATAATGCTAATAATGTACCTAGCAATTCAACTGAAAAGTGTATTCCAACATCTATGTCCCTTATTCAGTAAGTAACTGCTAAAGAAACTAGTGTTTTGTTCTTAAAATTCCTAATTGTTCTTTATTCGGGTTGAATTTAAAAGTATATAATTAGAGTCAAATATTGTGATAAATAGTATATCCAGGACAAGTTTATGAGTTGTAAGCTGCCATCCACCTTACCTTCTAATTCATATTTTGTGGTGCTTAAAATTCAAGACATCATCAGTATGAGCATGTGTAAAGTTACGGTTAGTGTAACCCTTAGCAGTAGAATATTCCTCATTGTTCACTAAATCTCCATTTCATGTCTTCCTCACCACTTTTCAGGAAAGTATTAACAGTAATTTTTCAGTTCAAATTTAACTACTTTTGCAGCTCACGGTAACCGTCGAAACCCACTCGACAGTATACTTAGTATCCTGAAACCATTCAAAGGAACAAATCAAGCTGCTCTCTGCATTAAGATTTTACGCTTCACCTACTAGAACCGCAATTAAATCATGACTGTGTGTTTATATACGTTGAGCGGCGGTTTCGTGAAGGGGTAAAGGAGATGGCTTTCAGTACAGCATTAGCTCGAACCTCTGTCTGGGCAGCTGGTTAGTTCCACTAACTGCATAAAACATATATGGTTCTAAGCCGAGTATAATAATCTGTAATTCAAACCCACCTTTTTCTGGCTTTTTCGATTGTTTCTACTTGGCCATAGCTCCTACTGTGATTAGACTCGCCTATTACGACGACTTAATACGTCTATATTGACTCGAACAATTGTTTTTCTGTGTTCCATTATACTAGGGAGGTTGATTGTATAGCGATAAGATTAAGAATACGAGGTTTAAAATGGTGCGTATTGACTGGAGCTGGGTACAGCGATATAGCAGGCAACATGATTTAGAGTTTTCAGAGCTAATACTACAAAAATAGCTACACTAAAATGTGAATGACTATCCTCTGTCAGTTTTTCTGTGGGTTCTGTAAATATACCCTCAAACTATCGACGTCATCAATTATACATTCTCTCCGGTCGCAAAGAAAGTTAACACGCGATTTAAGCAGTTGCTAAACTTCAGAGAAAGTGTTGTTCAGAATCATTTAGACATCTAAAGCAAAAATATAAAAAGTGTTTGGCATGAGAGTTAACCAGCCCCCAAATGCAATGTTCTAACTCAAGAACGGTTTGTATCTGTTACGGAAATTTGCATTTCCTTGTTTTCGCGCCAAAAGCGCACTTTTCCCACTTGGGAGAATCTTTAACGCTATTTGTCCGTTGTGTATTTTTAGTATGCGATTTTTGCAACGCTTCCCAAGGACAGTTTTATGCTGTATATATACGTTTGATTTGTGTCTGTTATTATTCACTCGTGCTTCTGGCTTACGGAATATACTTTCCCGTTCCAAGCTTGGACTTCTTCCTCTAGTTAGCGGGGTTGGGACGCATGAAATAGCTAGCTTATTGGTCTACGGTCACAAGTCTTTGTTAAGTTCGCATACTAAGTGAACTCGTAATAGCTTCAAACCTAGCAATGTATGTATACTGAGTGTTTTGATTAGCTTGTTTATCGTGCAAATCGCACCAATGATGATAAGCTGGTGGCTGACGAAACTTCGGCACGAATACAGAATTTTATTTTGGTCTCTTGTAATTCGTACCACATCTAACACAGGTGAGACATCTCTCTGAATATAAAATAACAAGTATACTGTACGGTAGTTCGATTCGGGTTAATCATAGCTTTAATACTTGGGCTGTCAGGATAGAAAACAAGCATAGGCTGCTAACGTTTGGTCTCAGATCGCTAGCAATCAGTTTAACAATATTTTTTCATTAATTATTTACGTCCGAAAGCTAATGATCTTCGACATCTTAACATGTATTGTAGTTTACAAAAAAACGTACTGGTCAAATCCTTATTTAAATCTGACTTGATGTTTTATTTTATTTCCCTTTCGATTTATATAGAGCGTCTTCTAATAATGACTCATCGTCGAATTCTAATGTCCTAATACTTCAACCAAGCGAAAGTGAAAAAATAATGGATAATTATTGCTGTAGACTACGTCAACTACTAGAGTCAAAGATTTATGCGCTTAGATTAACTGTGAAATATCGTGAAAACTTAACACTAGCTTCCAAAATGCACCATTCAGGTCAGCTGGTTTCCAAGTGTCTAACCAACGCAAACTTAAAGGTTGTAGACACTTCAAATTATGATAACAGTGTTCATCAATACGATGCACAATCGTTGTCATGTAGACTTCAATCCGGACACTTTATAACCAAAGATGTTTATTGTTGCATTTTGAACTCAGATGTAGAAAATTTGCATAATGTTGCTATGATTAATCAACATACGTCAACAAATAACCATAGGCATGCATTTTTAGAAAATTGTTTCAATTTAGCCAATGAGAAACGAGAACGTTTGGCAAATAAATTACGTACAGAGAATTGGCAAAAACAAGAATTACTCACATTATATCACACATCTGTACGGGAAATAACTGAACTCAATAGTAAGTTTGTCTTAGAAGTTTAGGATCAATTTTTTTAAACCTTTGTGGACTTTTAACTTCGTGTAACTTTTTATACATACTTTACTTCAGACAGTGTAATCATCTTTATGTGAATTCTCCATTAAAAGTGTATATTAATTGCTACAATAAATAGAAAGTTTATTGATTCTTGTTTAGTCAGTGGTCATTTTAGTGGTTTTTTAATCGTACATTAATGCACTTAAGTAAAATTTATCGTGATATTTTTCATCTTAGTTCTCTTATGTAAGTTGAATTTGTTGTTCGGATAGAATAAGCTTCATAGGACAATTCGTGTAATCCCCCTAAGGTTCTATGCCGAAATTCACTAGTTCCAAACTGACCTATTGTGTTATTGCAAACTATTCTTGATATAAACTGATTACTATCCCAAATGGTTGGTAGTCACTATTGTTTTTCGTTTATCGATATTATGTCGACCACCACTCATGGCTTGAATTATGCAAAAACCATTATCTAATAAATTGTTTTATCCTACCGAACTACGTTACCCTATCAGGTATGCACAAGTACAAAACATAAAACCACTTACGGAAACATTTCGCGATAGATCTGAGCATAGACGAACATCAGCTGGAAGTTAGAATGGTCGTTTTTCTTCCATTCGAAACAGTTTAATACTGAGCACTAGTTAACTCTGTATGATGAATTGACCGAATTCAGAAAATATACTGTTATGAATTTAAATTGTGGTGGTAGATTTCTACCCTGTGTTATCGATCGATTACAGTGACACGCAAACACGAACGAACGGCCTAGAGTTCTGACTGGTCCTGCTTCCCTGTCTAGCCCAGTTAGTTGAGTCCAGAACACAAGTCACAGCCTCGGGGATATGAATCACTATATTTCAAACATACTTTGTTTATATACCAGTCAAGCATACCACAGCGTACCATAAAAATAGAAAACAACATTTTGTACAAGTGAACAGATATCGACCAATAGGAAATGTCCATTTAAAGTCCAAGGACACCATTGAACTTAACATGATAATTATTGGTCTATTCCTGCGCATCCACAACATATACATAATTCGATTCCAATTCTGTTTATCATAAAAATGTATCATTTTTAATTCAATTTAGTGTAAGATAATGATTGCTCATTGCTTATGAGTTTCAAACTAAGTTGAAACGGCTATCAGTTGCACTATTCTTTTCGATGACTTTTCAATAGATGTCATCCAGTGATGAGAATGTAAATATAAGTCTAGAGAATCGGTTGAGTAAAACACGGGTAAATGAAAGGATGGTTTCAGCGGAATAATAAATTTACTATTGTCTCTTTCTGGACACACTAATCCTGATGTGAATTTTCTGATTATTACTGCTTTGGAAAACTGAAGAGAAGTTGTACTTTTTGTCTGCTGATTATTTTGAAGGACTCGGGAGTGTCGTTAATATGCCCGCTACCAATAAAATACCGATCTTTTGCACTGCGTAGAGTTGTTGCACCTCCCAGTCTCAAATTCTTTAGAGCATGCTCTTCAAATCTTGTATAGTTATTACGTAACCCATTTAACTATTCTCGACTTCTCATTGCTCTGTTATATATATTTGTGATGTGGAACTGTTCAAATCCTCTATAATTATCACAGCCCATCTTATCAGTCTCCAGAATCCACATAATTACTGCCGTAATCCTTTGTATTTCTGAATTCCATCTATAAATGGCCTTACATTTTTTTATATATGTTGTTGGTAATTTCTGTTATTCTTATTCTTTCCATCATCAATGTTGGTTACTCTACATTATATCATATCTCAATGTTACACTTTGATGCGAATACGATTGTAAGGAGCTGTTGAGAAACCCCAAAAATAAGATGAATTGAAATCATTCTGACTCAATTTTTGTTTTGAGCTTATTCAAATTCATAATGGAAACCAATTGCACTGAAATAGTTTTATATTTTTGTAAAAAGCTGATTACGATTCTGGTTTAATTCTTGGAAAACATTATGATATGAAGGTAACGGAAGAACTAATTCCAGTCATAACCACTGAATAAATAATTTTACATACCTCCATTAAAAACGATATCTTAGTTATTTACACAGGGAAATAATTGTCCAAGTAAATTCATAATAGTCTATTCTGGACTTTTAAAGTGGTTTTTCTCCAAGATTACTGTTCATTGTAATCTCTAGTGAACTTTTCCACCAAGATTATTACATCGACAGCTAAAATTCACCTGGGCTCTCAATAAGTACACACGTGATTTTTTACTGGGTTTTCGTAATATGTCTATCAAAAAGGAATTTAAGGCTCATCTTAGAATATTTCACATAAAACAATGAAAAGGATTACTAAATCTGAATTTCAAACAGAGAAATTGATTTGAAAGTCTAATGTATGAAAGACGGTAAGATTAAGCTGAGACGTATCATTTAATGCAACTAATGTAGTTCAGGCCCTTAAGGGCCGTAACTAGCATAGCTATAGGAAATCTTTCGTGCACTCATATTACCTTGATGCTTTTAAATTACTGTTATCAGAGTATTCACATAGTGTGCGATAAATTAACAGGTTAGCTTGTCCGACGCACTTGCTTTTATGGTAGAGAATATTTGTGGCTTAGACTACGGATGTTAGAGATGTGGTCTCAGAGCTAGATAATTTAGTTGTGAAGTTTTCATTGTTCTTCTGAACAATGTCATCGGTACGTTGTTCAAAGAGTGAGCTATTAAGGTTTATCCACATTTGAAAGCTTGTACCGTTGACCTAAGATTTAGTTGGTTGTCATCTATAACTGTGTTGCTGGCGTATTTGTCTTGGCTGTTCTTCTCTTTTGGCTTTGTGGTTGTTAGTCCTTTCACTTATTGCCTGATAGATTTGGTCGATTTCAAGTTGTCTTTTGATTGGTGCCGGATTAGTGTATCAGATTTCTCTGGCTTTGTGTCTTCTTAATATTTCGACGTTTTTCTGGTCGAGATCATGTCCAGAATTATACATTCGTATCGACATGATTGCGAGTATACCTTATTATTTAACTGATGTCTACCCTGGGACTTGAACCCAGTACCGCCCACTACATACCAACGCCATCGTTTTGCCTACTTAGTGATTCAACTGATTGAAGGATTCAAAGAACTAATAAGAATTCACCCCATTGCACAAGCTACTCCAACTAAGCTTCAATCAACAGACAAATTGAAATCGACCAAATCTATCAGGCAATAAGTGAAAGGACTAACAACCACAAAGCCAAAAGAGAAGAACAGCCAAGACAAATACGCCAGCAACACAGTTATAGATGACAACCAACTAAATCTTAGGTCAACGGTACAAGCTTTCAAATGTGGATAAACCTTAATAGCTCACTCTTTGAACAACGTACCGATGACATTGTTCAGAAGAACAATGAAAACTTTACAACTAAATTATCTAGCTCTGAGACTACAATACCAACTCATTTATATGTAAGACAATCATAGTTTAAGTAAATGAATTTTTGCCGGATAATGGAGTTCAAAGTTATAGCTTGTGTAGCACTTAATCATATTTTAACTTATATGTAAAGTCAATATTAAGTTTAATTGATCGTCTAATCCGAATCACTCATTTCTATGTTTGGTCACAGGTTAGCCTATTTATTTTGGCTAGATGAATCAATAATTATTAGAGTAAGTCAGATTAATAATCGCTCATTTAGTTTCATTTCTTTGTACTTATTATCAAGTTTATCTACTAAGTACACCGACATGTCTTCGATAATCATACGTATATTATCATAAAATCTTCTATAATACATCCTGTTATTTTATAGATGAGTCTTATGTTCACTACCTCATACTTTTTATACCAAATGGATTAGAGTATACGAAACTAAATATTTCCCTAAAATTTAAAAGTAAATTGTCTAAGATATTGGTTTTGAATTATTATAAACAAGGTTTTACTTAAAACCAGATACTGTAATGCATCATTTCAAGATACATCATTTATCAACACTATTGCGAAGGCAAGTCAGCGGAATTAATACAAACCAAGAAAACCTAAGACATTTTAATGACACTACGTTCACTTTCTTTATTTACATGACAGCAGTTCGTTTTGGACATTACTAATACATTCTGGAAATCCGTGCACTAACTAGATCAATAGCCACTAATTTAGGGTCCTGTCAGTTTTTCTCAAAGCTCTATCATGCTTCAGTCACTGTTTTAATTCAGTACAATAACTAGCATGTTTCCCATATGCTTCTAGTCAATCGTTTTCACAATATACGCAATCTTGACTGTCCAATCATTTGCTTGATGCTTCTAGTTTGACTTTGTCCCAAGAATTTTTGACATAATATTGATATGGTATTTTATATTGCCTTGTATCATCATTTTTTGGTAAAAAATTTTTTATTCAGAAACCCTTAAACAACGTGATTTACAAATCTTAGAACTTACGATGAAAATAGAACAACTTGAGTGTTTACCGAAAAGTACTAGTCGATGTGATCCTGTCAGTCATGCCGGGTATATTGCAACAACAGCAGCATTGACAAAGTCATCAAGTGATTCGGTTGATGACCCGACAAAATTTGGTTTAGGTGAAAAACAGTTCACATCTAATAAACAACAGGATGTAAGTCAAACGAATTTCTTCCATACATTTTATCATACGAACAAAAACCACTTGATGCATATTATTTTAGTGCTTATGTTTTCTACGAATTAGGTATTTTTATCTCAGAGCTTTATCTGTTTTTGAGCTGCCACGTGCCCAAACTCAGTTTTTGGCACATCTGTGATTAGTCATCAGTTTATGGTGTATGTCTGAGATTTGGAACATATTGTGCAACAGTGAAAATTGATAAGTTTTGCTAAATAAATGCTCGATCCGGTTTCCTAGCCGCTTCTAATAACCCCAGGCTAAATCTACACGACAGCTTGAATATGCGATAAAAGGTACGAAGGCTGATGATAAGGATTTCTTTCACTCACAAAATAAATAAAAGTGATTTGGAAATACACTACATTGGTGGGACTATAATTTATGGCCGACCTTAGAGCTACGCTAAAGTGGCCTTGAGAGCGGACACCTACTGATAAAGAAAAAGTGAGGGTTATAAAGCAGTCAGAATTCTCATTTACAGTTGATGGTTAGGGTTAAAAACTAGGTTTAGGGTTTTCATCACGAACTGACATTAGCTATAATGCTAAAACTCTATTTAGCAAAATGTATGGAGGAATTTCGCGCCAAAATTTGTGACTCGTTATCTTATATCTGATCGGTTCGTCCATAAATTATAGTCTCGCTACTACATTTTATATGATTTATTTGCAGTTAGATTAACAGACAGATTTGTATAAAATAAACTGCGTTGTATATAATGATAATAATTCATATATATCATATCATATTATGCAATTAAGTATCTGTAATCCTTCTTAAAATGTTGTTAAATCCATATAACACACGATTGGAAAAAAATCAGTTTCATATATCATTCCCACTCCAGTTTATTGAGCTATTACTTACCATATCAAAAATATTCCAAGATAGTTTCTTAATTCACATTTATTTTAATCGCATAATGGACCCATGCGTTTTTTACAAATGCTAATATTTTACAAATACTGGACTAGTCAATATATCTCAGTCCTATTCTGTTACGATCAGATAAAGCTAGATTTATACCCTCAAGATTACTGTTCGTACAACCTTTGGGATTAGTCGCAACATTTTATTTGTTACCCATCAAAAATAATTGTTACTGACATCCTAGTTCAGAAACGTGTGCATATTTAATTACATTTCATATTTACACATTGGGGTTTACAATTTAAAACTACCCAGCTTCCTCCTGGTTAATTTTGTGGTAATATCCTTCAGGAAAATTACATTATTCTCTTACTATATATGTCATTTATTAATTGTCGAGATCACCTCAGCTAGTATCAGAGACTCACTAAGATAGGTAACTATAGGTATAATCTTACTTTGAGTCCTTAAGTATTTTTGGTTACAACACGCATAATAATTTATGTCCATAGTAAAATTAATCAACAAACAGCTTTTTTCTGTATTTTTGAACAGACTTCAGGTTTTATAGTATTCTTATGCTAAAAGAGTTATTTATTTGAAGGTAATAAACCAATAATCAACTTTCTATATTGTGATCATATTATTGATGAGAGAAATACTTCCATAAAATTGATTCTTATTATTTCTAGATGTCATCTCTGTTGCCAACATGCAATATATGTCAATTGTTTACTAATACCTCGACAAATACACGCGGTAACATACTTATCCACTCTGCTTCAGTAAATCATGATAATAATGGTATTAATAATACTTTTTTACAGACTTATAGATTTTGTGCACCAGCCATCCCATCCATAACTTCATTCACAACAGACTTTGCAAGTTACCCTGAAATTTATGCTCATGCAACTTATCATTATAAAGACAAACAGAATCTAATCTTCACAAAACCTATTACTACTACTTTCCACACCAACTTATCTTCATCTTGTTTGTTAACTTCTGGAATATGTTCCTCCTCGTCGTCTTCGTCGTCATCTTCAAATATGAGCTGTGCGATGCATGCAGACGTACAGACACTTTATAAAGAATCATCTGTTATTACATCAGTCAATAGTAGCTGCCCAATTGTACATCAACAGCATCACCGAAAATAGCAGCAATAACTATCTGCTGATGTAAAGTAATTTAATACATTCATTGTCGTTACAATTATACACGAATTTATGAGTGTTGTTCCTAACTTTAAATAAAGATACATGTACCTGTGAGATATATATTACTTTTTTCATGAAAATAGCGTTGTATTAAAAGAGAGAGGTTTCATTATTGCTTGCTTTTTTATTGGTTATTCTTCTGATACCTGTTATACAGTTAGTGAATTCCCCTAAAGTTGGCAAATGTCTCAAGTTGTTCGCGTTATATGCTTCATGTATATATATATATATATATATATATATATATATATGGGCCAGTTACCCACCAAATTCATATGCATATGTTAAACTTTGTTCAATACAAGTATTGATTGAACCCATATTCACAATGTTAGTGCATCACATAAATATCTATAACCACCAATCAGATTTTACCATTATGCCTAACCTGTATGTCACAACAGTGGCCTAAATGTTGATAAGCCAAGAAAAATGACCTCCTTTTTAATAATAAATAGTAATGACTGTATTCCTAAGTTTCCAATTAACTCCCTTCAGCATCATCCTTTCACGGGCGTATGCAGCTCTACCCAAGAGAGAAAACAAAAACAGGGAAATGACTACGCAACAGATTAGATCAGTTACGTGAACAATAGAATAGGTCTGAAGTAATAAATCGGAAAAATGATTTCACTACTGGACCACTAAGCTCGTTCGTTGACATTTGTATTGTAGCATCAATCGTTGCCGATAATCATTTACGTTAGTGACTTAAGCAACAAATGTACCTCAGGTGTCCTGACGGTCCGAACGTCGCTAATCTTGATCACACCTTTGTACCTTTTTAGAATTTCCTTTACCGATAATACCAAAGACTAACGGGTCCTTCAGCGATAATTTTTCCATTATTCATTCCCCAGTTCTCATTAGACCTGTCAGTGTCAGATTTGTTGTAAGTTCACAAGAAGTAAGTTCTTGAATTTGATTACCTTTCAAAACTTACTTTATGATACTTACATTGACTTATGGTAACTTTTATTTTCCTAACTTGACTGTGCTCATTAGAATAGGGCTTTCGATCAAACGTTAGTGGAAGTTTACAGTATTTTGCATTTCCCCTAGTTGTTGGTGTTCGTAGTTTTGCAACGGCTGTCTATTTTTATAGCTTTTATCTACCATCTTAATTGGATGTTTTCCTGAACTCTATCCAAATACTAAGAATTTTGCGTAAATATAACAGTTTGATTCAGAATATTGAGTCTTCTAAGTTAAGTAGTGTGTGTTTGAGACGAATATGATTTTTATGTTGCTTTGCCATGCGATTCCGAGTTAAGTCGATCTGTAACAGCTTCAACTTTAGAAATGGTATATGGTCACTATCAGTGTTGAATAACGAATGCAACAAAACTTAAACTAAAATTAAACAATCACTTTCACTAAATTTGGGCCTAGATATATCACACTAATTTAATGTGTTTTCGTGTATTACATTTGCCCACAGTTCTCTGAATTACCATCTTGCCTGCATACAGATTTTCTAGTGACAATGTGTCCCGATACTTTCGGTTTTTCGTGAGGCAGTTTTACCTTCTTGAAATCAACAATTATCGGCATACCATCGGAACGCTTTTGATAAGCCTTCTCAGCCTAAATATCTACTTAGTAAGCAATGTTATGTTTTTGTTTAGAGCTGACTCTTTCGATTCGATAACTTTATCTTGATACTAGGCAATTGTAAACAATCGGGCAAAACCCCTAAACGTTCTGGCACAGAAAAGTCGAAACTACTGATACGCCACACCGAAAAGTGTCGACTAGCACTAAATCTGGAAGTAATGCTTCTTATTGTCTGTTTTCAATCACAATACGGATCCCTCTTTTTTCAGTGCTAACCTAATTATTTACCGTTAGTGTTGTTTAAATCTGACCCCATTAACCTGACTCCGGTCATGTATGCTTCAAGTGTCTGAAGTTGTGCACATAAACCTTCGAGATAAATAATCTGAATTACGAAGGAGTCTCCTGTCATACACTTATTTTGTAATTGTCATAACATGAAAGCTGACTTAACTCTCATAACCAATATTTCATAAAAATTGAACGAGGTTAGTATGGGTTTTAAAGTCGAATTCCTAACTCCTCCCTATCATTATCATCTCAACATCCTGCTTAAAGAGTTCCAATAATGTCACCTTCCAATTCTGTTGAACTAAAAACCTTCAACATTTGATATACGTTCGTGTGAAGACAGTTAATGAACTAAAGTTTAGCCTGAATGAACATAGTACCCAGTTAACTTAATAAGAAGAGAGTTTTCATAATATTATTATACGAATGTACAAGTGATTACGGGGTCAGTGTTATTTTATTAATGATAGAAAAGTATGGACTGTACGCTCTAGCTGACAGACTGTGATGGTAAATTGATCCCAAAAACAAGAAGATTAATAAGCCTTCGATGTTTACTTTGTTCATATTAGTTTTACCGGACACATTTAACTAAAGGCGGTAGGTCAAGTATCCTCTCTAAATCACTTTTGGATACACTGTGCAGCATATCTCCTATGATATCTAGTCAGCTCAGAATCCATACACTACGATACATCGACCTGTAATTCAAGCAAACTTTCATGTTCTATCATTATAGATTCCTGGTTCCATTAACTTAGGGATAATATTGAAACTATCCTCAAACTTTTAGCTACTGTACATTTTTTTGTTTGTTTACCACAAGACTGAATGAGAATTTTCTGGACATTTGATGTGCTTTCAAAATGAAAATAATTTTCAATTTTATCGTAAGTTGATTTAGTTCTTGTAGATCCAGAGCATGTTTTGTTGCTGCCTAGCATTCTTGATTTGTTTCGTTATACTCTATGTTGTTTCAGGGATCTGCGACGACCCTGAGTACATTTTTGCCATCTTTTGGTAATAATCAAGGTTTTGTGCAGTGTTTACCACATAGATGTCACATTTTCGAGAGAATCTTTACGTATCGACAACGTCCAAGGCTTAAACCTCATTGTCTGTGTACATTTTGACGTTAGAGTAAAACATTTCTGAATAAAGAGGCTGTAGAATTTTCTTTATGGAATACGATGAATAACGGTTGTGAGCACTTGTGCAGATTAGAGATAAAGTTGACTTTCCATCTAGTTTGACATAACTTCCTTAGACTCATGACTCAATATTATCAAGGTCGTAGTTTATGCGTAATGAGGTTCAATGTGTGTGCAAAGAAAATAATATGACTCCTACAAGGATCTCATTACCCTCATTAACAAAATCTCCTTAGGATTATCTGATTTTAGATAGCAATGTCACTATTCGAATGCTTTTTGCATTTTGACGGGATTGAATGGTCCCGGATTACAATTCGGGCGCTCTCGAAGTTTAAATGTCGTGTAACTCGGAAAAAGCTCGTCACAAAATACCGAGAACGATAAGCAATTTGAAAGGTGGAGGCGTCGACTCACGACAATGTAGATTCTTTGGGGTGACCACAGAGTTGAAAAGATAAAGCGGTCTCTTTTAAACTTCGAAAAAATTTGGAAAGCTGACTCTCAGTCCTTGCATACACTTGTATTATCCAAGTTGCCTAACGACTTGTCCCCGATTGTTGTTTCTATTTAAACATATTCTGTCGAATCCTCACAAACCTGTCAGGTTGCATGCAGTGTTCATACTTCACACCCTAAGGTGTCTCAACCTATTTTCAGTGTCTGGTTGCACCTTACTTGGTGATTTATTACTGGTTACTGTATTCTGAACCAAAACTTTGGTATTAATATGTCCACTGTTTTCCTTCTATCGACGACCAGTCATCTGAAATGATATCCTCAGAGTTCGAAAACTGGAATCAAATAGCTCGAGTGTGGATAGTGTTGGCAAATTTTGTTATGCAATTCAGTAATCCTTACGTAATCTTTCTTGTAATAACCGGTCATGTTCAGGCGACACAATGAAAGGCTACATTCGCTAGTGCTTGATATTTTAACAAGTTAATTTCGTCGAAGCATGTAAATGCTATTAAGGCTTGTTCATGAATCATCGTAGCTAATAACAAATATAGATAACCAGTTATTAATATTGATTGAGCTAGTAATATATGTTTACCAGTCAGTATTACATTACGACAATACATGTGGGCCTCAACCAAAGAACTGATAGGACAATGAGCAAACATAAGTAAAAAGCGATCGACAAAGTTGGAGTGAAAATGAGGGTTATTAGGAGGCTGTGTTTCTTTAGTCGGTCTCACCGATGTAGACTCATGGTCTAGTTCGTATTAAGTACTAATGGAATAATAGGCCTAATCCAAATATCGTAGATTTGTCGTGATTTAAAAACCTAAAATATTAGATCTAACATAGAAGTAACATCACTATCTATTCTGACTCGTCGTATCGTAACAATCAGCATTATGTATGGAGTTTCTAATGAACACATTTGGGCTGGGGATAGAACAACACATTCATTGTAAATTGACAAGATTAGTCAAGTATACTTCATGTAGGTGCTGAAGACCTTGTTTCAATGACAATGGATGCTCTGCAAATACGCCATTTGGGTCGGAAAACTCAGAGTCACTAATAACGTTCATCTGAGCTACAAATTTTACTCATTATCTTAATGGTGATGCTTTCTTGGAATTCTTCCAAAAACGGTGTTGTTAAACCGAATGAAGGATTCAGTACATGTTCAACTTCTAGACAAACATGCTGGATTTTGTAAGGATCGACTATGCACCGACCAAATGGCGACACAATCAATCGAATGAAACTCATCACTGCGCACCAACTTACTTAAATATGGAAAAGCATTCGACAGAGTGGATAGGATGACCTCATGGGACGTTCCTCGACACTATGATCTATCTGAGAAGATTGCCACAATCGTACGGAATTCTTACAACAGACTGCACTGCAACTTTATGCATTGAGTGCTGTTCAAAAATGTATTCCAAGTGAAGACCAATGACAGACAAAGCTGCTCACTCTCCCCCTTTCTCTTTCTTCTGGTGGTTAAGTTGATCATGAAGACCTTCATATCTGAGGGGAAGCACAGAATACAGTGGATAGCTTGGATGCAGATAGACTATTTGAACTTCACAGATGACCTAGCTTCTCTATCCCATTCACAGCAACAAATACAGGTGAAGACAGTCAAAGTAGT